TCTGGGCTCCTCGTTGGTGAACGAACTCTCTTAGATTTTCTTTTTGGTGAATTACGTCTCTCGTGGCTGTTTGAACGCGAGCCGTAACAGGAAGAAGTAGAGCGGTTGCGCCATGGTGAGTAGGACCGTGGCCGGGACCTAATGGACATGTAAAACATTTACATTTTAATATCTATAGAACTAGAAATACTATGATAATTAGGTGTTTCAAAAATATTTTTTACAACTTATACATATTTAAAAATGGGGATTCAATAATGTAGACATTGTACTACGCAACTGCATTTGTTTTTTCTTGCATTTGTTTAGATGTTATTTCTATTATAAAAACAGTTGAATTTCACAAACCTGCGACTGCGTGAGCGTGAACGAGAACTACTGCTGGATCTGTTCCTTCTATATTTTGACCTGCCACGGCGAGGACTGTATGAACTGGAACGGGAACTACTTCTGGACTTTATCGGTCTTTTTCTTGAGTTGCGTCTGTAAGGGCTGTATGAACGGGAACGTGAGCGACTGCTGGATTTGTCCTTTTTATGGCGAGAGCTGCATTGGGAGGGGCTGTCTGAGCTGGAACGAGAGCGACTGGTTTTTTGGCGATGATGTTGGGTAGGCCGGGCAGAAGCTGAGGTGCTAGCACTTTTGACTGCAGGACTAAAACAAGAAAGTTATAGTTGATTAATTACAAAAGAAAGTTGCAAAAGTCAGAAAGGAACTTGTTCACAGTTCTGGTTGTTATTTGAAAACAGAAATTTACCTTTCCAGCACTGGTAGTTTTCCATCCCACTCTGGGTACCTGTTCGAAAAATACATGACTTACATGTAAATATGTAACATTTTGACAGCAGAACTAGTTTTACATAAAGGTAGAAATCCATATAAACAAATAAAACAAGCCTTAATGTCTAGTTTTTAAACACAGTAGTCCCTCACTTATCACTCCAACAATCTCCATGTCCTCTCTAACTGCATCCAGATATCTCCTCTTTGTCTTTTTCCTGGCAGCTGCATTTCTAACATCCTTCTACCAGTATACCCACTGTCCCTCCTCTGGAAATGCCCAAACCAACTCAGTGTGTCCTCTCTAACTTTATCACCCAGTTGTTCAACCTGTGCTGTACCTCTGATGATCTCATTCCTGATCTTATCCATCTTTGTCCTAAGAAGAACCTCAACATCTTAATTTCTGCCACTTCCATTTCTTTCTCCTGTCTTTTTGTCCATGTCTCCAGACCATATGACATATCTGGTCTCATCACTGTCTTGTAAACTTTTCCTTTGACCTTTGCCGACACCCTTTTGCTTTGATGAAGAACTCGCACTATAGTTTTGGCAAAAAAAGTGTTTTACGTCGGATGCCCTTCCTGACACAACCCTCACTATTTACCCAGGCTTGGGACCTGCACAATCGATAAACTGACTTGTGCTTCCTAGTAGTGGCTGGTTTCGACACATCCACTTCTCTGACGCAATCACTCATGCTCATCCCATGTGTCATTCCCAATCTCCCTCCTACTGCACCTGTGTGCTGCGCTTCTTAAGCGAACAGGTGTACAATCTTAGTTGAAAACCCGCAAAATAGTGAGTCCGCGAAAGTATCGAGTGACTACTGTGATCCAATGTTTTTTTTAGTTCTCCAACGTCACACATTCTAGGAAGATGGCTCTATATATTTTTAGAATATATATATAAAATATTTAATATATTTCCTTTCCAAAATGTTACCTACACTGATTTGATCCAACTATGCTGACCCTCAGCAAAAATAATGACAATCATTACACCACCTAAACATGCAACTGTTGAAAAATAAGAAAATAAAAGACTGACTTTTCCCTTAGCCGTTTGCAGTTTTCAAGGTGCAGGCTTGAGTTCTGGTGGAAGA